AGGCCCGATCAAACGGTCACAACATTCACAACATTTGTTGTGACATGTGTGTCAACATTTCAAGAACAAAAGAAATGTTGTCACAACATTGTTGTGAGGGGTGGTCAAACGGTCTCAACATCGGCTCACAATAAATGTTGTGAGAATGTTGTGACAAATGTTGTGACCGTTTGATCGGGCCTCTAAACGTAATTATTACTCAAATTTAAGTATTCGCCATTTGTTTATACAACGCGTGTTCTAATTGGATCGCTAGGTGTTTTACATGAAGCTATGCAAACACAGTTATGACGTCATGCAACACATTATAAACGAAATAGAAATGGCCGTTTTATATTTTCATAGCCCAATGCAAGTGAGTTTGGAAGAACTGAAAGTCGTTGTGTAAACTCTCGGCTTCAAATTCTAAAAAACAGTCAGATTTTTGTTAAGATCGGTGGTCTAATGGTTAATGCGTTGGACTCCGGATCGAGAGGTCCTGGTTCGAGCCCTGTCCGGGGTCTTGTTCTTAGGCAAGACACTTTACTCTCGCAGTGCCTCCGGGGGGGGGGGGGGGGGGTACTTCCTTATATAAGCTATATAGGTATGTGCCGCCCCAAAGGGTATGGTTTTTGAGCCGTTTTGGTCTGAAATCGACCATTTTGGTCTGAAATAGGGTATGTTTTGTGGCACTCTGGTCTGGAATTGGGTATGTTTTTTTGAAGCTACTTTTTGATTATTATTCATCTCTTAATAAGTACGGTTTGATTTTAAAACATCGGCAATTTAAAGCCCTTCTCAAATGTTTACGCAAACCGAAGCAGTTCGTAAAAGAAGATCATGTATCAGAGTGTACGTGCTGCACCCTGCAACGGCTTGTCCCCGGGGGCTTATCACGCTGCCCGGCCGGGATTGGCTCTCTCTATCCAGGACTAATACTTGTTCAAATTGTGGATAACGCTATCCACCGGATAAATCAACATCCAATGAACGAATGTTAGCAAAACCAATTAATTGTAAGCCACCCATCAAATGCTGGGGCCGTGGGTAACCTGTGATAAACCAGCACCCGTATGTAAATAGTGACAATATTCCTGCGCGTTTTTGCTACGGAAACCTGAGTAAATAACCGACTTCTTAAGCCATTTAAAATTTCCAAATGCGACTTTTTAATTCAATTGAATCGCCTTTCTCCATAGATACACTATAAAAGCCGGAGGCCATCATCTGGGGGACCGGAAAACCAGTCCGGAGCAAGTCATTGAAGCCGAAAAGATTTACATACACCGCAACTACAAACGCCAAAATCACGAAAACGACATCGCGCTTATAAAACTGAAACGAAAAGTCAAACTTGGAAAGTATGTAAGTCCCGTATGCTTGCCGGAAGTGACCAATGATTTAGCAACGCCTGGAAAGCACGGCTACGTAGCGGGGTGGGGTGAAAAGCAAACTCAAGTAAAACAAGACAGAAAATCCTCAAAACAGCACCGGAAGAAAAGCCGTACGAAGGTGACTGTCCACATAGCGTTGGCAGTATCGTCCAATAAAGTTTGCAGAAATAGCACCGACCAGGCTTTTAACGACACCGTTATGTTTTGCGCCGAACACGAGAAGGCTGGGCAACACTCATGTCGTGGTGACGGTGGGGGGCCCTTTGTACGCGAGCGCTACGATTCCAAGTCCAGGAGCTATCGATGGACCGTGGCCGGATTAGTGAGCTGGGGCGAGGGATGCGGATTGAAGGGTCGTTACAGTTTTTTCACTCGTGTGACGCCGTATTTTGATTGGATAGCAGAAACAATCAATCCACCGAAACGAGGAGGGAGGAAATTGCGAAGACGACGTTTAAACGGAAAGCAGAACGGGCTTGAATGAACAACTACACTTTCTTTACCAGGTTAGAGGAGAAGAAAAAAGGATAGAAAGACAAAAACGTCGAGCGAACGATTTTAGAAGATAAATCATATGCATGAGGTTGCAGCGGCTTTTCAACAATATAATAGCATTTTATGCTTGTTCAATTTGTTGGAAATGTAAAAAAGTACTACGAACCCTTATTTACAAGATTCAAGTCGCAAGCGGCGTTGAAAACCGATAAAACCAGAGGAATATGGAATAGTACACATATTAACTTTACAAAACCGATATCAATTGTTTTATTATTCAACAAATTGTCACGATGCTCTTGTTATCTGCCATCCGTGCATAACAGATATTCTGCGGAATATGCAGTTTGTCATATTTGGAAGTGCACTAAAGAAGACTCGTCCGACATATTGGAAAGCGCTGCTAAGTAAGGACATTTCGGTGCTTTTATTTTGTGACTCGTTGACAATTTGTTGAATAATAAAACAATTATTCCTGCTCAATCTTGCGGAATATCGTCTGATTTTAGCGAACTCGGTCTGCGGCCCGTCGGCTAAGTATCAGACGATATTCCCTGCGATTTCGCAGGATAATTGTTAAATATGCTTTTAACTATGCAGTAATATACATGTTGATAAAACATACATGAAATATAACAACAGAGAAGTATTTTTTGTAGAGTGAATCCGTTAATATATTCTTCTCTTTTACTGATGTTTGTGACACAAAAGCGCAATATTTCTATGACGAAAATAAAATATATTAATTGATAAAACGTACTTCATCAGGGGTTTTCGGGGAATGGATATAACGAGATAACTGGTACAAATCCCTATATAAAATACACTCCATCAAGCCGGAGAGGATGATCTAAGAGAAGGATTCCCCGTGCCCCATGATAATTTTTGGAAATCTATTAATAGTTTCGCGCCATCCTGTTAAAGTTATTTTTATTTCCTTCTGATCGAGGCTTCGACCCGCTCTTAAAATAGTTGATTTTTGATACCCTATTTCAGACCTGACCCAAAAATCGATACCCTATTTCAGACCTATAAAATTAGTACACGTGTCTAATACATGACTTCAGCTACCCAGGAATGGGTTCTATTTGCGCAAACATTTGTCTAAAAGCCAAACCAAATTCCAGACTAGAGTGCACAAAACATACCCTATTTCAGACCAAAATGGTCAAAATCTATACCCTATTTCAGACCAAAACGGCTCAAAAACCATACCCTTTGGGGCGGCACATACCTATATAGCTTATATAAGGGAGTACCCCACCCCCCCGGGGGTTTTCTTAGATCAACCTCTCGGTTTTTCACGTACATTATCGACAAATGGACCAGATTACGTGTTCATATTTTGCGTTCAAAATCATGGGCCCGATCTGCTATAATAATTTTACTCTATACCATAAATCACATTGATATGCTCTTTAAAGAACAAGCCCATGCCGACCTCTCTTAATCTCATCAGGAATGTTGTTTTATCAAATTGGGCAAAGTCCATTCTTGTGTTGGATGTCGGCTTTGCCGTTCCAAATCCGATCACAAGTATCTTTTTCTTTAATTTATATATATTTTTTTGTAAAATGTAGCCTCAGTCTAGTTTTACTTTTAATACTTTATTTATAACTTGTTTTTGTAGTCCACTTCCAAAAATAGCACTTTCGATCCGGTAGACAGTGGATATATATCGGCCAGGTGATTGTTTACTACTATGAAGCACTCACCTGTACGAATAATTCGTATAGATAGCTGTTTACTGCAGTTATGGAGCTAAACTCTTCAGGGTAATTTTCGAAATATTTTCTAAGATCGAAACGAACGTTAACCGAGTCCTTTCTAAACACGATGATTTTGAAACTCTTTCAAAGTTATTCTTTAAACTTTAATTGTATCTGTTTCTTTCAAGACTTTTCTGAAGTGATCTCGAAGATTACCGATGACTTCTGACATTGAATATTTTACCAAATTCCAGTCGACTGTATAATTATATGCCACCTCGATGTTTTAAGCCATTCCTTGCATATCCGGACGTCGGTAAAAGATTCCTGCTACCATAAAACACGTATGTGAAAAGACTAAAAACTGTTGAGATTGTCTACTTTATGCGGATTGTACTGATTTAAGGTGATCTGTCCAATAGAGTCGGTGGTTTCGTTGCCCAAGCTTAGTTAAAAACATTTTCATCTGTTGTGTTTCCGTCTGCGTAAACAAGCTAACGTGCTCGAGGTGGTCCTTGTCACTCATTAGTGATGTGAAGGTGAAGAGGATTCACTCCTACCCGACAGATGTCTCTTTTGGTTCGTCCCGCTATAATTATTTCCAACGAGCCGAAAGCTCGCTACCGATGGGATTTATTTCAAGACAACAGTCCAACCCCCCTGAGCTATTATGACAAGCGACCGCATGTCTAAAGTAAAGGCGTTTCCTTCAGTCAAATAACTACATATGTAATCTCGACCGTTAGGCGACCAGTAGTTTACGCTTGTGTATTGATATTTTTCTGTTGTTTCTAGGCTCTACATACATTAACGTTTTACAAGAGGGCTGTCCCGTCATGTAATGCACAATGAAATGTACACATGTACAATTATATCCAAGATGAAATCGAGTGCAAGCAAGAGCTAAAACGCAATAGAAAAGAAGGATAAAATTTGTCTCTGTCTCTCAATACCTCCCATGACTCGAATTTAGTATTTTTCAGTGTCCGTGCACCTCCCACAAGCGACCACCGTGGTTTGGCAATATGGGTGGTCACTTGAAAGAGGTTTAACTACGTTTTGTGCGTTACAAAATCGCCTAAAATGCGTGAGCCGCTTTTCTTGATACGCTAAACAGTAGTATTGATCCCAAACAACAAGTCATGATTGACAAGGTCACGTCATCTCGAGAAAGCCTCTTCGTGACAAGGGCGGGGAATTACGATCGACCTGATTTGGCCGAAAAGGAATGGAAGGGAATCTTCGTTCTGCTTGGTTAGACATGGTTGGAGCATGTTCCACGTGCTAGGCAAACGCAAAACAAATGAAAGAAATCGCTCATTTTCGTCAGTGAAAACGGCTTAATTTCGAACAAACTAATCCTTACAGTATGCGGGAAGTTTGTCACATTTTAACCTAGTTATACGGCCTAGGCTCCCACAGGTCTCCTGCAGCTCAGTGGTAGAGCGTCCGATCTGTGTGGGGAAGGTCATAGGTTCAACTCCTGTTGGGAGAACTCGGAGTTTTTTTCTGAGTAGCTTGAGGTCACTGACCGATTAAAATCTTTATCTTATCTTGTCTTATACAAAGAGTAAAACTTTCCTGAACTTGATCCATCGACCCAACATGGCTGTATGTTGATGTCGTTGATGGATTAAAATGAAACAAAGACATCAGCAGTTTCATCAAGGTTTCATATTATCACAAAAACTACACGATAAGTCATCAAAATAATTAATTTAACTGCTTTAATTGAGAAATAATTCACAAAATGATGTATGTAAACCTTTAATGTTTTGAAGAGTAACAACCATTACATTACACTTTTTTCTTTCTGTTCTTTTCTTATTAATTTCGCCAGCTAGTCAATAAGTTACCCTACCCGTGCGAAAATTGAATTTCTGATACTCGACCACTTCCCTCAGTGTCCCTGATGACCAAGATCATGTCACGGTCTTTGACAGTACATGTTCCGCAATCGATCTGCTCGAATCTGCCATGGTGCAAATACAAATTTCCCGACCACTATATCATTCATATTCCATAACAACGCTGATATTTAAAACCAGTTTGAATATAGGGTATCATAAACGTTTGACGAAAGTCTTAGTTTTGGCGATGAGCAGTGGTAAGAACTGAGAGAGAAGAAGAAGGATGAGGAGGTGGTCTTGTATTCTAGAAATTGGACCCATTTCCTAAAACAAATCTGAAAACCTAAACGTTCCTACACTTTTTGTCCTAGTTTCTTTTCAACGTAAGTTATGCAATTTCTATTATCATGGTATATATTGAACTAAAAGCAGTAAATTCAACCACGTACCCAGAGTCTTTGTTCACTCTCAGCCCCAAGCGGGAATGAAGACAGAGCCTGGTAACGAGGTTGTCGTCAAGCAGCACTACTTGGGTCCAGTACATGCATTTTAACCAAAGTATGAACCCGTTTAATATAACGTCAAATATCATGAGCTTTTTCTTCAAATTCCTCAAAAGAATTTTGAAGACGATCGGTTATCCTCCTTCGCTTGTTTAGAAAGTTATCTCCGTCTTGAATAAATTTGATGTCGTCTTCCACGGAACGCTTTACTCCACGAATTCTAACGTCCGCTGTCTGTTTCAAATCGCCAAGTCCATCAACTGCCACCTCTTCGCATTTTTCCTGTAAGAAGAAAAAAAACATACATTGGACTACAATCACAGTTGGGCAGATTAGTAGAATTTTTAGGAGATTAGGCCATTTCCGAGTTGCCGTTTTCCTCTGTTTCAAAAGGAGTCCTGTCTACGCTTATTGTCTCGCAAATCAAACTCGTTTCCATATGAAAGGTTGTGCACCAGGACTCGTTTTGAAACAGAGGCAAAAGGTAACTCGGAAATGGCCCATTCACGTTAACACTTTTTCATCATGGCAATCATATTTCTGAGGATGCAGTGCAACCACGAGATAACAGACAAATATTGTGGAACCGGTCACATCCCCAGTAGTAAAGTGGAAAACAAACATCGGATAAAGCAAACAAAATTGTTGGCATAAATTAAACTGACATTATCCTTACGTAAGTGTTGAACAAACTGTTGCACACTTGTGTCATCTGTTGTGTTTTTATAGCTTCGAGGAATGACTGTGAGTAGTTTGATAATTGACCAAAACTAGTGGCTGGCAAATTTTGACTTAAAAATAGTGAACGACCACCTGAATCAAGCCTTATACTTTGTCCCATTCTTCTTCAACCTTTGTAAATTAAATTTATCGATGTTAGCGTTGGGCGAGACAGACAAGTCTATGGCAAACGAAACACTTGCAGGAATTGTGGCACTCAATAAAGAACATCTTGATTCAGGAAATATGATGGACTTTAAAACAAGACCATTTTCCCAAACCAACCCAACCGCACATACCTGATGTAATCTCCTGACTTTGGCAACAAAGAAATCCTGCACCGCATTAACCTCAGCTTCACTTGTGGGCCAAAGGTATCTCAGCCACTTACAGACATCAGTCGATGGTAATATACTGTTCATCACCGGGCCACCAATCGCTGAAATCGCAGCTAGTATATACAAAAGGTAACTCTTTAGCATTAGTTCGAGAATGGTACCGCAGTCAAACTTCTTATTTATAAGGACGCCGAAGAGACCTACACCGTAGTGTCAGTGCTATGAATCAATTAATTCCAGCAGTGCCCTGCCCCCCCCCCCCCCCCCCCCACCCCCCGGGCATTAGAATTAGCGTATATTCATTATATCAGAGAAACGAGTACGCTCAGTGCCTACGTCGGTATTCAGTCTGGGAGAACTGACTGAGACCGACTAGGTAGTTGATCCCATATGTGGTCACATTATTTGCTGATTAGACAAAACAATTACTAATTCTTCGGTTAGTTCAACTTCAACGAAAATTTCAATTGTTAATTTCTGGACATTTCAGGACCTGATTGTATCGACCGCCAATACCATGGATATCGTTATTATACAAAAATTGAATTAAACACTTTCTGTTCGTGAGAAAAGCTAGCTCTCTTCAGCCATATGAGAAAATAAATGATTGCTTCCTTCAGCAAAATAAAGTAAATCAGAAAATCTCAACATATCGATCATCACACTTATAAGTTCTGCTTCTAAATTTTGTCGGATTATAAAAGTATGAAGCAGAAGTAGGACGTACCTCCGTTTGAGCCAAGCACCGCTGCTCCTAATAAAGCATAGCACAGCATTCTGGCGGGCAAACCTGGATTCACCAAGCAGCCGCGTAAATCATTGCCTTGGAAGTCGAAGCTCTCGTCGAGCTGAAAATCTTCGCTTCTCCATGTAGGCTGCCTCACTTGAAAAGACAGTCTACCAGGCCCGTCCGCGACTTTTGACAGGCAATTCCAAATGGCATCTAACTGATTCCTGAGATCTCTGTCATTTTGCACCATTACCTGAAGTCTCTGGTTGAGACTATCCCGACAACGATCCAGAGCGTTTTCCCGAGAAACACCACTTCGCATGTCGTGCTCTATTTGCCTCTTGAGTGCAGCCAGCTGCTGGTCTCGCTGAACAAGCCTCATTACGTTGACAAGGACGTTTGATATTTGAGAAAGGTGTGAGTTGATGTTGTTTTCAGCATCCGTAACTCTGTTCATCCGCGTGGATAGCCTCTGTATTCTCTGCTGCTTTCGGTTTTCCATGATTCTGCTCAGGTTTCCTGACAGGGTCTTTGCTTCTGCAATGAACGTTTGCAGATCGTACTTCAGAGTGTCAAATTTCAAGGCTCCTTTGGCAGCTTCCACCAAATTGCGTTCGAATTCCTGAAAGCCTTGAAAACCGTCCGTTTCTGTTGTCTCAGAAGTAGTGGATGAGGCTTCATTCTACATATGAAAATGAATGACAAAAGCAGTCAGGTCAAACTAAAATTACATGTAAATGTAACTAGAGGTGTAGCTCATATGGGACTTGCATGCAGAAAACTACAAAGCCATTTAATATATATTAGGGCACTATAGTTCCGGAAGTGGTAGAAGCACTTAGTGTTGTTAGGCCACGCTAATGAGGCCCAAGATGGCCAAAAAGCTATTAGCTAGTGAATTAAATACCTGATTAATATCATTTTTAAACTTTCTTAACCCTATTCTGCTTGGGCTTTTTTTTCGTTTCTGAGCCTGGGGGGGGGGGGGGGGGGGCAGATAGTGCCTCCCCTATGTATCTCGAAAAGTATTGACGCTATGAAAATGAAACTTACATGGTGTGTAAAGCATCCGAAAATCTTTATTTTAGTGGCAGTCACGTGTCAATTATGACGTCATACACGCCATAATGACGTCATACGCTAAAAAAATCCGCCATCTTGGATCCGAAATCTTGGATTTCTAAATTGTTCAGAAATGTCAGAAAACTGGCTCCAAATTTGTTTTGAAAAAAATCAAGAAAAATATAAAGATGCTAAAACGGCAAAGATTTTGCAAAGATTTCGTCGTAAAAAGCGATCTGTATCTCGAAAGTTATTTGTGCTATAAAAATGAAACTTATGTCGTGTATAAAGCATTCAAACATGTTTATTTTAGTGACAATCACGAATCAATTGTGATATCATATCACGCCAAAATAACGTCATACTTTAAAAATGTCCGCCATCTTGGATCCGCCATCTTGGATTTTAAATTGTTCAGAAATGTCAGAAAATTACCAAATTTGATTTGAAAACATCGAAAACAATATAAGGATGCAACAATTGTAAAGATTGTGGAGGAAACTATTCGTAGAAAGCGGAAATCTAAAACGGCCTGTCAAAACTTGGTTGCCATGGAAACATCAAGTCACGTGATCAAAATATTGACCAAAATGTTCCCAGATAATTTTTAGGAAAAGTCATAAAGTTTGGCTATGATTGCTTGAATGCTTTTTAAGTACGATAAATTTGAAGTCAGCGCGGGCACTTTCTGCCCCCTCCCCACCCCCAGGCAGGATAGGGTTAAGCCAAAAAGCTATTAGGTAGTGAATTAAATACCTGATTAATATAATTTTTAAACTTTCTTAACATGTACCCTTTCTGTTGGTAGTCTACACTCAGGCCAAAGTGGCCCACACCGCCGGAGCTTTTCTCAATTTCAGTAGCATGAAGCGGCTAGGAGCTATGGCTAGTTCTCCCTCCCAGGATTTTGTCAGATTGCATGCTAACTCCTGGGAGAAGATTCAATGTGCGGCCAGCGCTCGAATCCGGAGGCTAACGCCACCGCACATGCTACGCTTAATTAATTCAACGCATGTACACTGATGTAGGCGAAGGCCTTACCTGGTTAGAAGAATGCTTCCTTGCTTCCCTTTGAGTCTTCGAGTCAATAAAGTAAACTTTTCCTCTGTCGGACACAGCGCTCATGAATTCGGCTCCGCAGCGCGACTTGACGTCTTCCACCGTGGTGTCTCCATACTCTTCAGAAAAATTGTTTCCTTGGAACATGTCCCACTTGGTGAACACACCCAGTGTGTATCTGCAGTTAACGGCCTTCACAAAATCCACCACCTGGTATTTGAAAGGTAATTTAT